AACTCCATCTTGAAACCGTGGTATATATCCATGAAGTATTTCAAATGGTGTTTTCCCAATAGTTTTATTTATTGTGTTATTCAAGTTTTTCTCAAACTTCTCTAATTCTTCTGTCCCAATCCTTTTGATCTTCACTTTTTATTGATGTTACTATCGTTGATTATTCTTATTAATAGTAAATAATAGAGTATCGTTGATTATACTCTATTATTTACTATCGTTATATTGTTCTGTTCGAGCTCTCGACCATACCATTCTTTGTGGGTGAGAGGTTGATTTTAATGTATGAAGAATTCCCTTTTCCAAAATTGTAAATTGTTCCTTTTTTGTAAAATAAATTTCGTCAATCTACAGTCGATTCTGTGTGCATTCAGTCTGTTACGAACCCTAACGAACGCAACTATACACTCATTTATGACCTTTCTCTATAAAGTTGTAACTAAGTAAAAAGTTAATGCTTTAAAGCAGCGATTCTCAACCGGTGGTACGCGTACCTTGGTATTATGCAAAGAAACAAAGTATTTTAACTATTAAATTAAAATATCTCTTGAAGAAAAAGAACAAGTGATAGAAATTTTCTGACTGAACTCTAACTGAAGATTTAAAAAATAACACACTTGTTAACTTTAGGCTGAACTGGAAAAAAAAAAAAAAAAAAAAAAAAAAAAAAAGAATGTAAAGGCTTATATAAAGCTATTAAATTTTTATTCCTTTTTTGTACAACCTATTTGTGTGAATAAGGATTTTCTTCCATATTATATTTGAGGTTAAAAAAAAAAAAAAAAAAAAAAAATACAGAACAAAATTAAAAGTGGATCTTAGGTTACGATTTAAAGCTAAGTGAAATATGACCAGACATAAAGAAATTGATCTCTCTTAAACAGGCCGAAATTTCACGATAAATTTTAGAATTAAAGTATTATAAACTAAATTTTGATAATTAAAATGGAAACCAATTTTTAATCTAATGTGTGCATATTTAAAACAAATAGCCAACATGTTGTGCAAATGGCAAAATATATTATTTTTAATATTTCTATTGAGAAATTGAAAAATAATCATTGTAAAATGTAGTGGTGATATTAAAGATTTTAAATTTTTGTTTGCATGGTTCGCATTAGTCAAAAGGTTGAGAACCGCTGCTAGTATAGTATATTGAAAGTATAACCGTGAATATTTCGTGGCTCCTTCTATTAGCCAAGAACAAAAATTATTTCGCCACCCAATCGGTATAGTGGTTAGCGTCACTAACTGCTCTACCCAAGGGCCCTCGTTCGAATCCCGTAGAAGGCAAGGATGTTTGTAAGTGAACAGTGTCGGTTCGGCATGGCGACAGTCTAAATAAATATGCGGCGAACCGAAAGTCCTCGTGTTGTTTTGTTGAAGGGGAGAGGGGTGAGAGACCCTCGGACTCCGTCCCCACCGGAGTGCTCTGCATCAAAATAGGGGGGGGGGACTGAGCATTTTGCCAACGGCAGGCTAGTGCTCCTTGCCATGAGGAATTTCGTGGGCTTGCGCTGGCTACGTCAGACAAGTGAGAATAAACAACAACAACAGAAATTATTTCAAAACATAAACATGCCCCCACCCCCCACCCACCCAGCTACGCCACTGTTAGATAGCTGAGTGAGTTTAACCTTACAGTATCAAATAAGAGATTCGGAATTTTGGTTTCCCCTTTGAATGTACGAGTATAATATTGCAGTTTCATTCTGTTTTTTAAAGATTTTTAACTATTTGTTCTTTATTTTCGGTTGTTTTTATTTAATTACAATTAAGGCAGATACTTAAAATTATTCAATTTATGAAGAAGACCCGTGATCAGCTAATTATAATTTACTTTTCGGATGTCGCTTAATAATACTTACCGTAATTTCGGGTAGATAAGCCGCCTTGGTGTATACGTCGCACACATGATAATTGACTGAAAAGAAATGAAAGGTCATCGGATAAGCCGCACCGCCGTATACGCCGCAGCAAAGCCTTCCGAAACATGGCCCTTAATATTTATTTATTCAGCCAATTGATGCCCTGCCATATTGATGTGATCATCATCGATAACATTTTGTAACATTTACAACATAAATATAATCAGTAATATATAAATAAGGAAGAAATATCTTGCCTTGAACTTGCCGAAAACGAACTCTGATGATTTCTAACAGATGTTATTTTTACGGTTTCGGTAAACTTTGTTTATCAGCATAAATTACCATATTATGAAAAAATTAGAAAAACAAACAGAATTTTCTAATTAAATTAAACAACATTTATTTATACAAAACCTTCAAAATCCGACTCATCGATGTCAGATTTAAATAAATTTAACAAATGACAATCAAGGTCAGTTTCATCATTTTGTTCTAAATCACTTCTTTCAACGTCACTATGTTTTTCAATGATTTCTGATTTAATGAAAGCTGATACGATCGGACTGATTGCCATGCTTTATCGACCTGTAAGGCAGCCTCCTCATAGGAAGCTTTTCTCATTCGTCCGGAATTAGTGTAGGAATGGAGTCCGCTTTGCATCCATTCCTCCCACTGCTTTCGTAGTTCATGCTTGAAAATTCTACTGATAGTGAGATCAAGCGGCTAAAAATTTTTTGTAAGCCCACCTGGTATCACTGAGACATTGCTTCTAAGTTTTTTTTGCTTCAGATCTTACCGTATCCCTAAAAAGGATCACAATGAATCCAGAACAATGAGCCCTCGGGGTTAGAAAAAAAGCACCTTTCCTTTTTCGATAAATTTCTCTCAACCAAAACAACATTACTTCTTTTTGCACATCCATCCTTTTTGTTGGAGCAAATAGTAACTCCTTTAGTGATGTTTCCTTTCGGAATTGTTTTTCTTTTGAAAATTATCAAAAGGGTTAACTTCTCTCCATTGGCAGCACAATGCAAAACACAAGTAAAAAAAAGTAACAGGCACTTTATCCATATTAATTATTTGCCCTCTTTTCAAATTTTATTCTTTTTCTTAGATGTGTATTTCAAAAAAGCTATCTCTTTTTTTTCAAGGCAGTCCATGGAAAGCTTTTGTCCAACTGTTTGTTTTGGTCCTGACAGATAATTTCTTTCACTTCATGAACCTGAAACACCAATAAGGTCCCCCAACAAAAATTTTTAATGCCCATTTGTCGAGCCATTACTTTTGCTTGAAGGCGAATTCTAACTGTTGATACTGATAATCCACTTTCTCTCTGCTCTATTGTCCATTTCTCTAAATTCTCTTTCACAACAGGCCGGGCTATGACACCAGTTCGACGAGATCTTTTATTCTTCGGCATTTTCTCTAATTATTCTTGTTCGGATTTCCACTGCCGAATGCATCGCTCGTCAACTTGAAATTCTTTAGCCGCAGCGCGAATTCCAATTTCGATCGCTTTCTTTACAGCCGAAAACTTATAAGCAGCAGCTGTATAACTTTTTCTAATATATTTTTAAATCGCGAATGATAAGGCAAACAAAAAGCAAGCTACAAAGCAGTAAAAACTTTTAAGAATGGACACAGCATTCGACAAGCAAACATAACTGTTTCCAATAAAACAAGAATTCATAGGAAAAACCATGGATTTTAGGAGAAAGTACATGCACTTCGGTGTTTTTACAGAGAGCGCCACCTACATTAGTTAGGGAAGTTTGGACTTGGTGCACCGTGCAATCTGAGGTTAGAATATTGCAGCGAATTCTTGCCATTTCGCTTCTGCATTACTTATAATCTGAACTGGTGAAATTTTAAATACCAGAAAAGAAATAAAATTCCCTCAGGTACGCTGCAGACCTAAATTTTCAACTTTTAAACACGTATAAGTAAGTGTTGTTGATAGTGTGTATTGTAAATGAAAGTAAGCATACTGTAAATGAGCTTCTTTAAGTATTAATCTTTAGTCAATATTTTAAAAATTAAATGAAATTTATGTCAATGTTAGGTACATAGATTTTGAAATAGGGTGTCGTTGAGGTTTAGTGCACCTAACAATTCTATCCATGTAGGTACAGTAAGACCCCGCTTAACGCAGGGGATACGTTCCATCAAAGTAGAGCGTAATGCGAAACAGCGCTAAACAAGGCTATCTTTACATGTAAATATTGGAGTTAGGGGAAGATGGCTAGGAAATTGGTTAGGTATTAAATTTAAAAAGTATGTTTTTTTAATAAAAATAAAACCAAACATTTATTTCTTAAAGCCCAAATTAATACCACATTATTATTTCTTGCAAAAATAAAAACAAATATAAATAATAACAAAACGAATATTCTTAAAAAAACAACAAAATTCTAAGTCAGTCAGTCATATTTAGTTAGCCTTCCGCGTTTTCAGTGTTCTGGCTTTTTGTGACAAAAGCATCTAATGTTGTTTGCCTTTTTCTTTTGCGTTGTTCTCTTAAAAGTTCTTCATAAACGAATAGAGCATCTCTAACACCACGCCTTACTTTTGAGCTCCTGTCAAAATTCGGATCATTTTCAATGAATTGATCCATTATTTCAGTTATGGTAGACAAACTCCTTTTTACAAACGCCATCGAAAGTTCTTTTTGCTCTTCTTCTGAATCACTGCTGTCAACATTTTTGTTTTCTTCTTGTTCAGTTAATTCCTTGAGCTCATCATTAGAAAGACTAGCCGCTGCTTCTTGAATTATTTCTTCGACATCTTCCACATTTACCCCTTCAAAATATGTCTGTACAATACCGCACCAAACAAGAAATACAAGTACACTCTTTCGGATATGTATTTGAAACCTATCGCTGCATAATATTTCGGGGAATCCCCGGGTTGAAATAAAAGAGCGCTAAACCGAAACAGCGTTAAGCGGGGTCTTACTGTATTTGGCAAGCAGGTAGAAGTTATCGAAATATTTCAATTTTACACACTGTTTCGCTTAAGCAAAGCTGGAGAGCAGGGTGAAAAAGAGAGTGAATTGTAAAACGTTAGTTTTGTACTGCATGCATGTACTGTGATCTCTAATATACTATGGTAAACAATTTTTCTTTTCAGATTCCTGGAAGAAGATATGAGATAGTCTGTGATGGACCTGAAAAATTAAATTTAAATGTTATCGAAAATTATATTAAGTGTAAAAATTCATTTTAACTTAAAGGAGATTTTGTAAGAGTTGGCTGAAGCTTTTAGGTTAGAAATGAAAGTCTTAGGTAAATAGGAAGGGTCATCAAGACCTTCGTTTTCGATTAATTTAAATTCTGGTGGAGGAAAATGTAAGGATTTTATGTTGATTAAACAATTATCATGATTTAAACCTTTGTAATGACTTCTTTCTGTAATCCTTGCCAGAATGCAACACTACTTGACTGAATTTCAACTTGCATTATTTTAAATACCTGCAAGTGTTGAGTTCTATCTGTAAGCACAAGTGGTGCCTTCTGTTTAAATATTCAATGAAACGGGTCATTTTACTGTTAATTCAGAAGCAGTTAATACTCATTCATCAGTCTAGTAGCAGATGAAGGGCATCGATACAGCTTCTAATGTGGATGTCTTGATTTTTAAACATATTTCAACTCTTTTTGCATCAAAATAATTACATTGAAACCTCGATAACTTCCCTAACCAACCCTTATGTCAAAAACTGTCATAAGAAATTCAAGATGTTTTAGTTATTTCGTAAAGGAAACTGGCCAGCAAAACATTTTCAATCATGTTGCTTGAAATGATGCAGCAAAAGTCATGATACAAGAAAAAATACTAGTAATCCATTGGTTCATTTTAAAAGCCCTTCTCTCGGCTGCAACATTAATTTACACTTATGAACAGCTTTACCATTTAGGTATGCTGGACCTCTCCTATGAATAAACCTTGAAAACATGTCCGGGTTTTTACTTTACCAATTACAATAAGCTTTATTTTCTTTGTGCCAGCCATCCTTTACTATGTTTTCCACCATTACATAGTTCACCTGCGACAGATAAAATCCTTTTATCATTATTATTATTATTAAAAATTATGTTATCCGACAGATAACATAATTTCAATTAAAAAATATCATAATTTTCATAACCTATAAAGAAATCTTTCAAGAACATTTGTCTTTCAATTTTCAACAGCTTTGACGTTGCTGTTTTAGCTGCACAAAACATCCTTTATTTGCTTGGAATTTATGTCCGTGTCTTTTATCAAGTCCCAGCTCAATTTCTTGCAAACTGATAACACAAATATTAATTTCCGTCTTGATAATTTTTAGACCAAACAGCGAAGCACCTTCAATGTCTTTAAATGAGTAAAATCTTAAGGGTTGTAAATATCTTTCACAAAAATGCTGACAGCTGTCTTGGGAATATTGAATTTTTTTGCTATTTCAGATTACATCTCTCCATGGCAAATTTTGTACTTTAAATGATAAGGAACATAATTTTTAAAATTGTAATGGCATTAATTGGGAAAAATGCAAGGAACTAAGCAGCAACAGTATTTTTTACATGGCAAGGGTCTGTGCTGGACTTTTTCCAAAAATAAAGGACATCACACTGGGATGTGTATGTTGGCATACACAGAGAAGCCTTGGCCACACAAAAATGCGGATATTTCTGCAAATTACTATTGAGAATGTGTAAAATTTATAAAACAATCCCTTGAATTCCAGGTTATGCAGTGCATCATATAAAGAAATGGGTAATAAAAATGAACACAATCTTTTACATACAAATATAGTCATTTGTGTACAACTGTTGAAAAGTACATGAGCATTTTATCTTTTTCACAGATATAACTAAAATGGAAGATCGTTAATTTCTTAAAAGCATGTGCACTCACACCGCTCATTGGCTAATATATGCCAGATGACATGTGGTGGCATTCGATGCTGACGAAGAAGTGAGAACATGACATTTTCAAATACAGTAGGCTTCACTCCTAAAGCAGAAGTTTACCATAATTTCTCATTGAAGAAATGACTTAATGGTTTTCTTTTAAATGTAATCTAGAGAAAAAAAACAACTGACAACCCAAATAACTTTTTTTTGTACAAATAATGAAGTATTGTGCCAAGATAATAAAAATAGTGTGAAATTTTTAAGAATAAAAACAGGAATATGTTGCAAATCAGGATGTTGTTACAAATTGGCAAAACTAACTGACGGTAATGTTAAATTCGAGATTAAAAACTTCTACCAATTTGATAATCTAGAAGACCATGATATATATTTAATTATTAACACACTAGGAAATAATGAAGACATCCACTAGATATCAATTTCAGGATAAATACTTGCTTCACATGTTTAACTATCAGAAGAAATAAACTAATATTTAAATTGGTAACCCACAAAGTTATGGATCTTATGATTACAGCTATATCATAATGGCTTATTTTATGTGTCATTAGGAAAATACCCTTTCAAACATTAAAAAAAAATTAAGCCAAATACTTATTGAGAGCAATTAAAAAAATAAAATGTCCTTTGTGTATGATGAGTAGACACCGAACTCAAGACACAAAAATTTAAAGTATTTATAGTACCTACACTGCAGTAACTCTTTATTATGCAATACTGAAGCAGAATGGTAATGATTATTCTCAATATATACCAGATATCTGTCACGGCACTGGCCAGTAGTATATATTACTACTACTACATACTAAGATTTCATTGCAAGGAATTATAAGCCTAAAATTCTAGTAATAAAACAAGCTGTATAGAATAAAAAAATGAAGCCTCCACATTACTTGGACTATTGAGCCGTGAAGATACGATTCGATTAATTTTTGTAGACACATAACTAATATTTGCATAATCATATTAATGTTTAAATATTTGTTTCAGAAATGTTTAAAACACCAAATTTTCCATGTTTGCTCTAGCTCCCCAGTCCCTCTCAAATTGGTAATGTCTTCAGATATACTTTTAGTGCTCACCGAGGGAAGAAGTGATGCATTAGGAAACATTCATATAGAAGATTAACCCTTTGTTGCATACAAATAATCTAGAGAAGTTAAACAAAAATGTATTTTTCTACTTAAAATAACCTTAGTATTAATAAAAAAAAAATTTTATTCAAATTTTGTTTCAAATAATTGCTACAGTTTGTTCACTACAGTGGACAGCATGTACATACGTACATGCATACAAATTTCTTCCCAACGATTTAGTCATTGCATTTGCAATCATTTCCTGCCTTGTGTGCAGTGATCATTACCCAAATACAGAATATTACAGATACCCCAAAATACCTTCATTTTGTCGATTGTGATTGAATTTATTTTGCTACGATTTTGTAACCTGTACCTATTGGATTCAATGTCAAATGATCTAGTAATTCCTTGCCAAACATACATTTCCAGTGGTGTTTTGGCTTGATAAGCAATACATTTGGGTTTCAATTCACTCTTTTTGGTAGACCTTTATCTACCCATCTCACAATTTTCTGAAACTGGTATTTAAAATAAAATTTCTAATTATGAATAAAAAAATGGCAGTATAAGAAAATGTAAGCGATATTATATAATGTTTACTATGAGAAACTGTACTAAGTTGGAAACAGAAGTAGCAGCCATTTTTCAAATAGCAATGCTTAACTTAGTGATGCTACACAGCCATCTATGATCGACAGTTGAAAGTTCTAATAACATAGAATGAATAAACACAGGAATGGAATCTGTTAAGGCATTTACAGAAGAATAAACAAATTTAAACTTTTGTCTACTAGAGTGGACAGCATGCAACAAAGGGTTAAGGACAACTCCCTTTCAAATTCCTGATAAGCCCTAGCTCTGTTATTGCTGATAATTTAACATAAGTAGCAGCTTTACATGCTAAGCATCAGGCAGCTACATAAAAGGAATACAGCTGCTATGGATAACAAATTATAATGGATAATATTTGCATATACAAGATTTTTTTTAAGATGGTTTCAAAAACAAGGATTTCTTATAATTTATCCAATAAACAAAAACACTTAGTTGTCCTTTGAAATATCAGTATCAGGATATTTCCTATTGAAGCTCTTAACTGTAGTTCAGTTAACCGTATTTGATGGCATATTAGACGCACTTTTTTTCCTAAATTTGGTCTAAAAAAAGTTACCTGCGTCTCATACGTGAAAGTAATTGCATTCAATAATTGTTTATTTGGCTTTTATGAAACGTGAGAGCTAAAAGAAACCACACTATTGAAACTTTTTTTCCTTGTGTGTGGCTGTTTAAATAAGGGTGTGTCTTATATGCCGTCAAATACGGTATTTAATTTACTAAAAGGCAGCAAACGTCAAGGCAGTTAAATTCATCAGCAAAACTGCTGTCTTAGCCAGAGATTTCAATATATAAGGTAAAAGAGGAGGAAGAAAAACAAAAACATAAACAGTTATTTCACAAATTTTATTGAGATCCCATTAAAAGGACCCGATAAAAACATTAAACAGATTAAAATAAAGCTATTCAGAATTAAAACAACTGTCTCAAATTAAATTAAAAAAGTAAAACATGATTGAATATCTACAAATGGAATTTTTACTCAAAAATATAACTTCAAAAAAACCTTATGAATTATATTTTGGTAAAACAAAAGTTCTAAAAACAGTTTACACACATAGTATAAATAAATACATTTCAGAGTTTATTGGATTTTTTTTACACTAAGCAGAAACAAAGAAATTGCTATTAACAGTGCACAGGTGAAAGATTATACTTGTACACTGAGAAAGTCGTTATTTAGTGTTTACATAGAAAAGTTAAAAAAAAAAAAATTTCAGCCTCTCAAGAGTATACACATGTTATGCATACATAAAATATTCATTCAAATTATACAGAAAACTACACAGATGAAATTCATTTGATTCCAAAAATGAGATGTCACAGATTAGAAACATTTTGAAGACATCATGGATTTTAATATACAAACATGCAAATAAATTCATTCAAATAAAAATATATCGAGATAGCATTTTTCTTCTAAAAGCCCTGCTTTTTCCGTACATCAATATCATATTTTTCATGCAGAACCTTCTTATATGCTACATGATCTTTCCATAACTGCGCTGCCTGTGTATTAAGAGGGCTTTCAACATTAGGCTCTGAAAAAGACAATTTTTTAAGCATTTAATTTAGTACCCTGAAATATGTAGTACAAATACAGTACATATCTATGCAACAGAAACAATACATGTAACTAAATAACACCTAGATTTTTTGCGGTGTGTGTGTGTGGGGGGGGGAAAAGAAGATAAACAGTTTCATTTTTCAAAATATGCTAAGATTTGTTTCTGATGATAAAAAGGATGATTTCTTGTGAAATCAACCTTTCTTATACTAGCTTGGTATAAAACTGAAAAAGCAATTAACAAAAAAAAACGTTTTTTTATCTTTTATTAGGTAGTGTTTATTATTTTCTAAATTACTGATAATATTACATAAAACTAAATTGCATTTATAAAAACAATGTTAACTTAAGTGAACATCAGTTTATTACAGACTAGAAATATTAAGCTAATACATTTTTATGTACATCAATGAAGCATATACTGATTTGGAAATTTTTTCTACAATTAGAATGTTTAGAAATTTACTTGCACTTAATCATTAAATTTTATATTATAAAAAGAATTTAGAAATTCATTAATTAACTGCAAACACACTTAACCTCTGAAGTTGCACATTTAGCTTAAGCAGTTTTTTTTTAAATGTAAGGAACCTATCCACATAGGCTGTTAACACATTTTTAGAACGATTTTGATAAAGAATTAAAATACTGTTTCCGAATAAACATTTCTTGCACCAGCTTAATATTTGAAATGAGAAATATTGTCTGACTTTTAAATTTATGCTTCTGTCAAAATGTCACATGTAAACAAGGTGTGGATTGAAGGATGTGTTTTTAGAACTTTCTGATCAGAAATGTTCCTAATTCCATAATTCAATGTGAAATGCATAATAAAGTTTCTACACACAAAATAAGCAACATTATTTCTACATGGAAAGAAGACTCTAAACAAATACCCAAAAAGGTACGTCTAAAAGTACACTGCTGATAGCAAAAAAATCCACCAATCCAGAAATAAACTATAAAATCTTTAAATACATCTGCTGCAACAGTAAATAAAATAATAAAAGCAGATTTACAACTTAAGAAGCTAAAAACACATTGCTCACCAGCTTTTGCCATGGCACGTGATTTAACACAGAAAAATTTGTAAAACCCTGTATGAAGCATGAGTACTACAAATACTGGAACCCCAAAACACCTACTTATTAGAAACAAAGAGAAAAAATATAAACCTGTTTCATCAATGCAAAAAACATACCAGTAAGGAATTTATGAATTCTTTGTTGCAAGAATTCTCTTACACCAGAAAGTTAAAACTAAGAGGGGTATGGGGGGAATGTTAAAATCAATGCAACGTATTATCAAGAAAAAGTTTTATAGCCAATATTTACAGAAAAAATTCCATATCTTTATACCAATGACTTTCAAAGTAAACTTCATCAAGGCAAAGCAACTAGTTGTAATTTAAAAAGTACCATTACATTCCTTGAAAAAATGAAGACTGATACAGGTACTGCATATATACATTTTCAAAGTATTCCTGCAAAATCCCCTGATGTTTCACTTATGGACTATCATGCCTTTAGTCTCTTGAAAAGAGCTCTAAGCGCAAGCCTACCATGATTGATGGATTCTGGAAAGCAGTGGAAGATGAATGGAAATCAGTACCCCTGGAAATTTTACGAAATGTGCCTTTATCATGAATATCACTATGCAGACCCTGTCTAGTGAAAAACTATCAGATTGAACATTTAAAAAATACTCTTTACATTTCAAACATTAATTACACATGCTCTGCAAATTCGAGTTGGATATTAAAGTTTTTTTCAGATAATAAAAACCTTAGCAACCACAAAAATTACATTTATGTTCTTTCTTCAAGTAGGTTTAATCATCACATAACACTGTTCAGCTGTTACAAGTTCACTTTTGTAAATCATCTCATTAGCAAATTATTGAATGATGACCTGATATTTACTGTAACTGGGGTTTAACCCCTAACCCATAAAGTATATTTCATGAAAATGTTTGAAAATTTTTTTAAAACTCTTTCACTTTTGATAAGTGTCTTTACAGTTAATCTTAGCCAACATTCAAATAAAGGTGGAACAAATATCACCATCTATTCACAAAGCAGCATTACATTAAGTATTTGAATAAGGAAGAATAGAAAAAATAATTTTGCTTCTGTCTAAAAGTCAGTTCGGGATTTCCTAACTTGATGCAAGCGAGTTGTCTGAACTGGATTCTGCTAAAATGGTAAGGGTTATTTATGATTTCTTGACAAATTAAGCAATTAAAATGCATGCTCCACAATAATTTTTATTTATGACTTTAGTTAATATTTTAGAAACCATTTAAGCTAACAGTGTAATTAATAAATGTTATGATATGCATTACACAGATCAGCTACAGAATAACTACTTATAAACCATACAGTAAGTTTTGCGAGATTTCCATTACATTTGTTTATAAAAGAAGTAATAATTAATTTTCTCATATTTTTATAAAACTCTTTTGGACACTTCACTGTTAAAGGAACCACCACAAAATCTAGAAAACACTTATTTTGTAATATAACATATATAATGGTAATTTGTTCAATGCTGAATCTGCAAATTTTAAGTGACAATAGATTGCTACGGACATAGGGAGAAGAGTGCATTCTATTCTTATTCTACATACCATTGCCAAATAAACATTCGTCAGCCAACATTATAAACATATCAAAAGAAAACAATTACATATACAAATCTGGATTGTTAAGTAAAGATTATACCACACGTTAAACATTACACACACTGTGCTATATAATATATCACTGTTTTCGCAATATACACTCTAAGACAAAAAAAAATAAAAGAGAGGCATCCATGGGGATGGGATGAATATCGGTAGATGTTATAGATATATACAGAAAAACAAATTATTATTTCAGAAAAATTAGATGATTCATTCAAGAACAACAGCTTCAAAGCGAGCATGTCAATAACGCATCGGTCCACCTCTATCTCTTACACAGTTATTTGGCTTAGCATTGACTGACAAGGTTGGTGGACGGCCTGTGGATATCATGCCAAATTCTGTCCAGTTGAATATGCAAAATCCCGAGTTTGTTGGAGCGCCCTGCCCATAATGCTCTAGTGGGGGAGAGATCCAGCGATCTTGTTGGCCAACGTAGAGTTGTGCAAGCATGAAGACAAGCAGTAGAAACTATTATCATGTGTGGGCGGACATTACATCACTGAAACGTAAGCCTAGCATGACGTGATATGAAGGGCAACAGAACGGGATGTAGAATATCATCAACGTACTGCTGTTGTGAGGGTGCCACAGATGACAACCAAAGGGATCATGCTATTAAATGACACCCCAGACCATACTCCTGGTTATTGGGCTATTTGGTGGGCCACAGTCAGGTTGGTATCACTGCCGTAAAGGGTGTCTTCAGACAAGTCTTTGCTGGGCATCGGGCTCAATTTTAAGTGGGACTTATCACTGAAGCCAATTCTACTCAATGAGATTCCTCTTCGAATGTGCCCGACACCACTACAAACAGGCTTGTTGGTGTGCAGAGATCAATCTATATACACCAGGGAGGCACAAGGGACAGCATGCTTAGCCCCCTATTATTGGTCCTTGTGGTAACTGAAGCAAGTTTCACGTAGGATTGATGATAATGATGAATAGGGGCTCAGAGTGCCACTCTGATTGTTCTCTCCTCACATTCTATCATCTATCCATGCTGTTTCCTTATTGAAACTGTGTTTGGCATGCTTAACCCATCCCTTCCAACATCATCTAAAAGTGGCATCACTCCTATTCAAATGTCGAGTAATTTGCCAATTAGCCAATTTGCCAGCTTCTTTTAAGCCCAACTAGACACCTTCTCAAATGCTGACATCTGCAAATACTGAGGAGAACATTATGAGCAATGGAAATGGGTGAGAACTTTTAAAGATGGTCACATGAGTGTTCATGGTGATGATTGAAGCGGGCTATCTTCTGTCATTACTGAAGATTTGGTGAAGAGTTGACAAGTGAGTGAAATGAAACAGATGCGTTATAACTTTGTCATTATTTGACGACTTTCCTTGAGTTTTGCTGTGTTCTGTATTAAACTGCGAGTGAGTGCTTAAATTATCGAAAATTGTGCGAATGCTGGGTACCAAAAATGCAGACGGAGGTGCACAAACACAAACATTTAGGTAGTGCTTTAACTTTCCTTTAGCGGTACAGTGAGGAAGGGGATTTTGTAAGCCAAATTTCCCCATTTTGTCACATGAAAATGACTGGGCTTACACCATAAGAGAAGCAGCAATTATCATCACCCAAGGCAGTTAAATTCATGCCAATGGTTTCAGTCCAGAAAATTATGTACACTGCATTTTGGAATAGGACAGGGAATTTCTTGCCTCATAGCAACACAATGAATTCTCTGATGTATTGCAAGATCTTAAACTACGAAATACAATCTGAAACAAAAGCATGGCATGCTGAGTTAAAAGCCCATTTTGCCTCATGACAATGCCTATCCACACATTGCTAAACAAACTTAAGATCTTATCACACCAATTCATTAGGAACAGTTTCATCAACCTCTGTACAGTCATGATCTGATGCCCAGACTACATATGTTCCTGCATTTGACGAAGCATCTAGGTGGGCTTTGACACAATGATGAGTAGGTCAAAATGACCATATTGCAGTGGGTATTAAATCAGGCAGTAGACTTCTGTCTATTCGTGTAATGCACGTTGGCTGTGCAAAGAGGTAAATTAATTATGGTATTACTTGAAAACACAAACCAATTAGATATGACTTGTATATATAATACCCAAAGCATTACTATTGTAACTATGATAGGAGTTTTCTCTTCTGAAGACTGAAATTAGAATCTGCCCAATCTGGATTTAAAAATGTCTTTTTTTGCACACATTTTGCAGCTAAATGAAAGAAAGAAATTTATTTAATGATACTCAGGTATTTATTTAGCAGCATACATATGCAAAAAATATATGCATTAAATTTTCTGATGGTTTGTCATCACATTGCTAGAATTAGTTTTAGGACTATGCAGAGGAAATTTCCTGAAATTTGAAAGTATTATTTACCAATAATAAATAAATTTAGAGGGAAAAATCCAACACTTAAAAACTGAATTAGAATAATCGATATTTTAGTGAATATATTATATTAAATAGTTAACCTAGATGACAGACTACTATTTTTTTATTTTACAGCAAAAGGACAAATAAGGCATTTACTGAAAAGAAAAAAGGTTTAAAAGATTTTAAGGTAAAATTCTAGTAAGGCCTTGGAACGATTTTGAAAATTGTCGCCAACACCAAAATGACCCATTTACTGCTTATCATAATGTCGCGAAATCCCGTGCGTACCATACGTGGAGGTTATTCTAACCAAAGAACATCTACGTAAAGAAGGAAAGGTTTCATAGGCATGCTATTACGTCGTTAGAAAGCGGAGGGTGCCTAGAATTTCCCTCTTTGCAATGTGTACAGGTAATTGAGGAACTTATATTAAGAAATGCTCTTTGATAAAACATTTCTTCTTTGATTTTTTGCAATAACTTAAACAAGGATTAGTCAGTTCCGTTTTGCTCAAAATAACTAATCCATTAAATTTACTTGCGTAAAAAAATATTTCCTTCTTCTTTAAAGAAATTTTAAACGATATTTATTTTATGAACTCTTGATAACGTGATCTGCGATACGGGCTTTGAGCTTTGGCGACATATTTCCCTCTACGTTGGAATGAACCACTCCTGTTGCAGAGATGTTTTCCTTCTTAACAATACACATTCTTTGATTCCTCTATGATACCGTATACTACGATTAACCCAATTTTGTTTAGTTCAAAATGCACTGCATGCACGCGTGGGATTCTCGAGGTTACTGGAAACTTGCTTTGTATTTCTAAAAGACAATCTACTTGGACCAGCGAAAATTGGCTCTATGCCAGCTGCCGGAACGCTAACGCAATACACAATTTGCCAAGAAAGTGATCGCTTCCAACGACAGCGCAAAACTCTCTTTTTTTTTTGTGTGTGTGTGGGGAGGGGGGATCGCTGTATGAACCTTTTCTGATTTTTCAGGTAGTGGCAACCCTGCTTAATATTGGCGGAAATTATGCAGAAAAATAAAAATTAAGAACATAAAAAAAATAACTAATTACTTAGTTCTTACTAACTAACCTGATAATAAAGACTGCACAGATAAAAGAATAGTTCGCACATCATACAAAGCAGTCCACTTTTCTTTTAAAATGTCAAGACAGATATTGCCATGATCATCAACGTTAGGATGAAAACATGGGGTTGTAAAGCGGACATTCGGAGCACTGTATGGATAGTTATTTGGAAAATCCAACTTCAACTTATAAGTTAAGCCTTCATACACCTGCAAAAAAAAGTTTAAAATTGAAAATTAACAAAAATGAAATAGCACTATTAATTTTTACTCAAACTTGGTATATTAAACTTTAGCACATTCATGATTTCATGCAGTCATGTTAACATGATTCTGCATATAATATAAATGTGAGATTTCATTCAGCAAAAAGGTGAAATCTATATATGTTTATCATGAGAGATGAAAACTTACTACAGCACTATAGTTAGATTAATTACATCACTTGAATATGACAAAGCATATGAGAGCTATCTGCAAAGGGGAAGTGATGCCTTCATGGAGAACTAAGGGAATATGGCTCATATTCAGGTTACACACAAAAACATGCAGTCACCATGATCACTTGAACTGCTTTTAAGCAGTCACCAGTAACCCAGCTCCATATTCATACAGGTTTATACAAACCTTGCAAAGAATACTATTCTATTCCTGCCACACTCTGTATCAACACATTTCTAATATCAATTTCCACACTCTTACAATAATTGCAATCAGTCTAGAATCCAAAGTAACTCTGATACACCTAGCATTTCTATTTTAATTGCAGTCGATAAAAAGTAAAGCATCCCCAAGTTTTATATTCAGTGTAAAAATTTATAATTGGCTTTATTAATATACATAATTATTTCACTCTCTTTTGACTATAAGAAGACTGTCAAGGATTTTAAAGAAGTGATGGATTCCTTTATTTAATCAGTACTTAGATGCAAATCTACAAGAACCACGCTGCATTGCCTGCACTCATAATGATCTGAAACACAATTGATCAGACATGATTGTTGAATAGGATCGGACTTAACATTCAGCTCTAAAGCAGCCCCTGCTAAGTTTGTCTAAAAGGGTAAGCCACTGAAGCTGGTTCTAGTAAGCTGTAGATCCCAAAACTATTTTTTTATCCAATTGTATATATTTTTATATATTATTAAGTTTACAGTTTTCACCTTTTACATCCTATGAAACTGAATTTGAAAGTCAATTATAGTCACCAAGCTCTGCTTATACTGAAAAGTATCTTTAATTGGGTAGCATTCATGCTTTCACTGAAACTCGCCTATCTGTCAGAAACACAATCATAACTCTCCAAATAAAAAAAGAAGTACATTAGTCACCGTTGTTCAGTTAACTTACTAAGCACTGGTGAGGGAGCTATGTCAATACTTGACAAAGTACTGAGATTTTTACTGTTCTTAAGGAGCACAACATTCAGCTCTTTTTCATTCGCTTGCTTACAAGAATGTCTGTTGAAGCAATGTTAATGATTTTGAGTAACTTCTCTATAAATGGACAATCAGTATTCTATATTTTAGGGTGTCCCCTGGATTATCGCCAAGTTGTTATTTCATTTATGGTAACCTGAGTAGTTGACGGTTATGGAAACCCTATTACGACGTGATTGCGGTGAATTTGACTCATGGGGAAAATATTTGTAATGGATTATTTCTGCGTTGGATGTCAGTTAGGAAGTATGTTGCTTATTTTGTACTTTAGACCGTAAAATGGCTGTATGTGATGAGATTAATCTGAAGTTTCTGTATGATTTGGATCGAAAGAGGGGGAAAAAGCATCAATCGACTGATATATAAATGAAGGTTTACTTAGTAAATCATTATAAGTGCCCTGTTTTCACAAAGGAAATGTGTATGGTCGAATGTAAGGATTGTTCAGATGGCCCTGAACGAGTTTATCGCAAGAAAGGTTCATACAAGAAATGCCACGGACAGTCTGTCACTATGGAGGATATTTCTTTTTTCTTTTTTAAATTTATGTGTTGATATGGTATACATATTCTAGTTAAGATAATTTTAGAAAGTTTTTGGATCTTGTTAAGGAATTTTGTGTGCCACAGACTGAAGACGCAGAAATTTCTAAATATGGCAAGTTGATATTTCCTTTTTGTAGAGCGTATATGCGATAACATGCATTTCCTTTTTTATGTTATTTCATTGTGATGTAAAATACAGTTTATTGAGCTTCGAATGCCTTACAAATTTTATTCAATTCTGGTGATGAGTAACTGTCTTAACATTATATGGATGTCATCATTCTGCAGATTTTTTTAAGTGAAACTAGATTGATGTGTACATGACTCAGAGTTTGTGCAATTCTTCTACTTGTTATTTTAGTTTTGTGTAGCGGCCATCTTTAAATTGTGCCTTGCTGGCCAATTGCCAAGGGGCACCCTGAAATATATTTTTACCAGAAAATTTTATCAGGATCAGATCTTTTGCCCCCAGGAGGTAAAGCTTTAAGGGCCACACTTTAAACCCCATATTAAAAAAGAATAAAACATCCATTTCAGGGCTTAAAAAACCATGGACATTTTATCTAATTTTTATGAAATTTGCCATGATTAATAGTTGCTGATGGCAGCAAAGCTCTCACAATCTCTCTGAAGCAATCAGCTAATCTAGCCCTCTAGAATTACTACTTTTTCTTCCTAGCCTGATTACTAATCCTGGAAAGGAAACAATATACTTTCTAGGCATTCCTAAACAAATACAAACCCTTCAAAAAGTTTGAAAAAAGTGGTGTTTAGCCCAGTATATTCTGTTTTAAGTCTCATCTCAGTTTTCTTGTAGTGCAAGTGATCACTCTAAATTAGAAAATGTTTTTCGCTTGTTTCCTAAGATCACATCTTTCCGCATACAATATGACAACTTCAATAAAATTTCTAATGAGCTTCTCAGTATTACCAGATATATAGGTCTCAGTGAACAGGGAATAAATCGGTTGTAGGTATTTAATCTAGTTGTTGAGTTCTAACAAAATCAAGTTAGATCAGAATATTTGAATACGGCAAATCACCCAAGGGCTATCTACCTAAGGGAAGAGATTCGCTTGCAGAGAGCTTTCTAAGAGAAACTGACTCGTAATTAAATTACACATGAGAAAAACCACTAAGACCAACTATGCAACCAGACCGTGTACTTGGGACTGACCTCTCAGCATTAAGCTTTCTTATCAACTCAGCCACTGGTGATGTCTTTAAAAAAATATATTCTTTATAAAGTTCTAACAAGGCTATATCAATTCTGTATGTCTAATGTATTCTAAAGAGGTCAAAGGCAGCCAAAAGTAAATGTTAAATATAGTTCAAAAGGTATACAATTAAAATGCAAGGATGAAAAGTTATTCTCCCATACAAGAGAAAAGTTTACATTAATTTTCCCATACAAGAGAAAAGTTTACATTATCTGCAATTGCAACACAAATTCCAGTTAAACAGAGTCAGTGAATCTAAATGATGTAACCAGCTAGATTGGTATTATCATAACACTGTCTCTGAGTAAGCATTAAAATCATCCAATAAAATGGAATGACAATTCTAACGAACGATAAGGCAATCAAAATTTGGGCAATTATTAGCAAAATCATACATCAAAATATTTGATATGATGACTTCTATTAATAAACAAAAAAGAGTTAATTATTCAGATGTCAATATGTTGACTGAGTTAAAAATTATTTTCAAATACATAATATATAATTTTGTTGTTTGACATCTGAATTAGTACATAATACAACATTAACTAATGTGAATGCAGAGCTATATCCTTCTCAAAATGCATTTGCACTATCATGCACTATTATTAAAACATAAAATGCTAAATATGGTTACAGCATGCAGAGTAAGTCAATAACAGGGCTTGTGAAGATATAGCAATTAAAAATTTTAAGATGAAACTGCAGAAAAAAATATACATTCATTACACTGGGAGACAATCATTAAAGCACAAAATATTAAGTGTTGAAAAGATTTTTCCAAGATATGGAGATATAGACAATCAGTTAAAATTAGATGCAAAATTACGCCCCCCCCCAAAGAATAAATATTTAATCATTACACTAACTTAATTGTACATAATTAGAAATACAAAATATGAATAAAAATTTTATATCTTAATTCTCAACAGAAATTCAGAACAGAATACAAATTATAACCGTTCCGCAAGCTCCATTTATTGTGCCAATCCACGAAAAAATATTTTCATCAGATGGAAAAGCAGAGACTCCTTTATCACCAGACACCTGGAAATAGATAAAAATATATGCATACATGCATTAATTTTAAAAACAAAATTTTCATTTCAGAGAAATTCCAAAAATTTAGCTTACAGTTAAAAGATTTTCTAATGCAAACATATTTTAAAACCCTTATCACATTTGGCTACAGTCCCGGCTAGACGGGACTTTTCTGAGAAACGAGATTCTGGAGGCACTGATTTAACTAAGAGGATTCCTAGAAAAAAAGCCCCGCCTAGCTACAGAAGAGGTGTTGCGGCTACGAGGGATTTTTTCAAACCTGGCCGAAAATGTCTCGGGTCCTGGGTAGAGACAACCAATCAGACGAAAGTTCTGCTTCTTAAGGATCACGTGATCCCAATTTGAGCTATAATCGATTACTGTTTGGCATTCAAGTCTTTGTAGTAAGTGAGAATGGTAACCTAGCTACGTGCATTTCCTGGAATTGTGCGTGTTGTAAGAATTGTAATTAAATTACACATGAGTAATTTCAATGTCAAGTCCCGCATAGGCGAAATATAATGTGACTTAACAGAGACAGAGTTACAGAATGGCTTTGGTCAGAATACAATATGCACGTGCAGAAAATTAAGAGTACTCAGCTAAATAAGCTACAGACTGCTACTTTGAGTTCACACATCTAAATTTTCAAAGCTAGCTAATTATATTATTTATAAAACAATGTTAAACATCCATTAAATGCAATTAAGATCATTTCCTCAAACATTCCACACTTCTCTAGAAGCTAAAAAGAAAACCAGAAAACCAACAGCACCAGGAACCACTTTATGATTCGAGAGTGTACTTGTCGCGCCACTATCGAACTCCATGAGAGGTAAGTTTCTCTGTTACGGAATGGCAACGAGAGAGATTGTTGTTCAAAAAGATGGATGATCGAACTGCGTTGTAACGATCATTTTTGAGGATGTTGCGTATGTGTATAACTGCTCATTATTTTCTCTTAAACTCACAATGTTCACGACATTTCTGGCGCCCCCGGGTGGGCGTGTTTGTTGGAAACATGTCGGATGAAAGAATAGATAGGGTAAGTTGATTACCTTATACTTCCTTCCGTTTTGAAGTTATTGATTGTTTTACTGAAGTTTAAAATACTTTTCTTGCCTAATTTTTATCTGAATATTTTAAACTTTTATGACAAAATGGAAGTGATGAAAAGAAACAAAACTGCGCAACGTTCAGCTTTTACTAAAGCATATAAAAGACTAGATGAACTTTTAAATGATGATAATGTTGATTATGAAGAAGCAGAAATGTGTTTTTATTTGTTCAAGAAAAAGGCAGAAACATTAGAATTGACGCACGGTGCTTATTTAGATACTATAACTGATGATAAAGAATTCGAAACAGAATTTGAAATAACAGAGGACTATCGAGAGAAGGCTGTTAGGATACAGTTAAAATCGGAACGATTTCTCGATAATATTAAGAGTAAATTAAACGAAATCCAAAATACATCGTCAGAGAGTAGTCAGAAATTAGTTACTGATGAAAATACATGTAAAACTTTGTGCCAACGCCTACCGAAAGTAGAACTTTATAAGTTCGCAGGTGATTTAAAAAATTGGCTTACGTTTTGGAATCAGTTTAAAAAACATACATGAAAATAATAACTTAACGAATGCAGACAAATTCCATTATTTGATACAGTCAACAAAAATTAAATCAGAAGCTAGAGATATTGTAGAATCTTTTCCGGTGACGAACGAAAATTATCCTTTGGCTATAGAAAGCCTTACTGAGAGATATGGGCCGTAAAGAACTTTTAATTGATTTTTATGTTCGAGAGTTAATAAAACTTGTTTTGGATAACACAGCGAAAAGGAAGCAGGATTCTTTGAGTAGTTTGTATAACTAGCTTTCAACACAACTTAGAGCCCTGAGCAGTCTTGGTGTAACGACTGATCAGTGTGGAACAATTTTATATCCTCTTGTGGAAAGTGCTATTCCTATTCACGTATTGCGATTGTTTGAAAGACAACGAAAAATTACTGAATCTGAACGAAACATTTCGAGTCTTGATGCAATAATTGAATTTCTGAAAAGCGAAGTTCAGTTCAGTCAGAAGAAAAAATAAAATTAAGCAGAGCGGATATTTTTTCTAAGTCTGATCGTAAGCACTTGGCAACTAGCCAAAATATTCCTTCCGCGTCGGATTTGATGAATCATGAAGCAATACCTTCTTGTTCGTTTTGTTTAAAAGATCATGAAACGCATAATTGTAAAAAGGCGTTTTATATTCCGTTAGATGAAAAAATGTCTGCGGTAAAAAAGAAAGGTTTATGCAGAATATGCTTGGTTAAAGGTCACCTCAGTAACCAGTGTCGATCAAGTGTTAAGTGTCAGATTTGTTCAAAAAGGCATTTGAAATTTTTTTGTCCTAGTCTTGAATGTAATAAGTCTAGTGAAATGCATAACCAGGAAAATGATGAGAAAAAAGAGAAAACAATCGATTCTTTGCATTCGCGTGCTACGAATGAAGTTTTCCTTCAGACCCTAGTTGTGAACATAGAGGGTAAGAATAAAAGGCGTAAAGTTAGATTAATGATTGATACGGGTAGCTCAAAAAGTTATGTTTTAAAGTCTACTGCAGAAGAAATGGGTTTTGACTTGCAATGGGAGGAAGAATTTAGTCACTCTTTATTTGGTGGAAAGAAAACTGAAATTTATAAACATCAATGTTACAAGATTTATTTGAGTAGCCTTGATGGTAAATATTCGTGTAAATTAGATGCTGTAGACCATGATGTTATTTGTAATGATATTTCAAGCATAAGATACGGTTCTTGGATTCGCGAATTAGGAAATAAGGGAATACGCTTAACTGATACCCAAGGGAATCCAGGCCCTATTGAAGTACTGTTAGGGGCAGACGTTGCAGGGAAGTTATTTACTGGCAAACGAGAAGAACTAAGAACAGGTTTAGTGGGCTATAGAAACAAAATTGGGTTGGACTTTGATGGGTAAAGTACCTCAATCCGAACATCAGCACAATGTAAATATGACTATAGTTTCTATGTTATCTCAAGAAGACCTGCCTATTTCATCGTTGTGGGACTTAGAATTATTGGGTATCCGAGATCCTGTTGAACAAAAAACTAAAGAAGAGTCAAGAAGAGCTATTATGGTTCATTTCCAAGAAACAGTTCGTCAATTAGAAAATGGTAGATACGAGGTTGATATGCCTTGGAAGATTGAGCATGCAGTCTTACCTGACAATTATGACCTATCTTTGAAAAGACTCGAATCTACTACGAAGAAGTTGGAAAAAATCGGATATCGTGAAAGGTATCATGAAGTCTTTAATGAATGGCTGCAGGAAGGAGTGATTGAAGAAGTTCCCCAAAAGGAGTTGTCTTTACCCGTTGTTCATTACCTCCCACATCGTCCAGTCATTAAGGAAACGTCCTCACTATCTTCCATGAAAATTAGACCCGTTTTTTGATGCTTCGGCAAAGCTTTCTAATCAGCCATCTCTAAATGACTGTTTAGAGACTGGAATTAATTTGATTGAAACTATTCCCTCTATTCTAGCAAGATTTCGCTTACATGAAATTGGGGTGATTTCAGACATCAGAAGGGCTTTTTTTTACAGATAACTCTAACTGAAAGAGATCGAGATTTTTTACGATTTCTTTGGTATGGTGATGATGGTAGAGTGAAGACATTTCGTCACACCCGTGTGGTATTTGGCATTACTTGTAGTCCATTTTTGCTGATGGCGGTTATTGACCATCATTTATCCAAAGAAACGTGGAAAGAAAAATATTCTGAAGAATTTCTTAAAAAATTACAAGATAGTTTTTATGTCGATAATTGCGTAACTAGTGTACAAAATAATGACGAACTAGAAATATTCATCGAATCTGCAACTAATGTAATGAAAGAAGGAATGTTTGATCTCAGAGGATGGGAAAGTTCTGGCATTCCTGCATTTTCAGAAAGTAAAACATCACCGGTATTAGGACTGGTTTGGGACAAAGATTTAGATACCTTGGAAATAGACACCGAATTTTTTTGAAATTTGATGAAAGAGAAAAAGTAACTAAAAGGAAAATGCTTTCACTAGTTAGTCGAGTATTTGATCCCATAGGTTTCCTTGCACCTGTTATGATTCAGCCTAAGATTTTGCTGCAGGTCGCTTGGAAGAGCAAAGAATCATGGGATGGTGAAGTGAATGATGAAATAAAGAAGAATTTTTTAAAATGGGGAAAACAACTGAAATACCTCAAAAATATAAAAATTCCAAGATGGTTAGGTGTGATGAAGGAATCCAATTTAAGTATCCATACTTTTGTCGATGCCAGCAAGACAGCTTATGCGGCATGCATTTTCTTAAGAAGTGAATCCAGTATGGGTTCAGTGACTGTTCAATTACTTCAAGCCAAATCACGAATAACTCCAACGAAGACTATTACTATACCACGACTTGAACTAATGGCTGCTACCATAGGTGCTAGGCTGTTTAGTTCTGTGAAGCAAGCTCTAAAACTTCCCAACATCAAGACTTACTTTTGGACAGATTCTTCCACAGTTCTTGTGTGGATAACTCGTCGAGAACAGTGGTCGGTATTCGTTACAAACAGAATAAGTGAAATTAGAAAATTGACAATTTCGGAAGATTGGTTCCATATTTCAACTGACCAGAATCCAGCAGACATTTTGTCAAGAGGTTGTGGACCTAGGCAACTTCAGAAACGCAAGTGGTGGCAAGGGCCAGCCTGGTTGAAGAATCCGAAGGAGCAGTGGCCAAAGTCAGCTGTAAATATTAACGAAAAAGAAGTAGAGATAGAGAAACGAAAGTCAGTCATCTCTGCTAGTAACACAGAGCTAGAGTCAATTCCATTACAGTTAGCCAGAAGATTCTCTAGATTTTCAAAGATGATTAGGGTTATGGCTTGGATACTGCGTTTTCAACCAAAGGCCAAGGACTTAAGAAAATGTAAGGAACTTCAAAATGAAGAATTGTTAAATGCACAAAGGACTATTTTTTTCCGTGTAATACAAAAGGAATGTTACTCCAATGAAGAAAC